ACCCCAATGTAGGTGTATTTAGAGATAGGGCATTTAAGAAGGTAATTAAGGCTAAATGAGTTCATAAATAGGGGACTTTAATCCAATCTGACTGATCTTATCAGCAGAGGAAGAGACACCAGGAATATATGCAACAGAGGAAAAGCCCCATGAGGATAGAGTAAGAAGGCGGCCCTTTGCAAGCCAGGAAGAAAGGCCACACCAGAAACCAACCATCCCATCACTTAGATATTGGACTTCTAGCCTCCAGAACTATGAAAAATAAATTTCTATTGCTTAAGCCATCTTGTAGGTAGTATTCTGTTACGGCAAACTGAGCAGACTAACACACATGGCTACCCACTCACCTGCCTTCCACTCCTACATTCCAAATGTGAGCACCCCCACTGAAATATATTTGTCTCTGTTTCTCTAGCACCTAGCATACACTAGGTGCTTGATGGCGCCATGGATGGATGCATGCATGCATGGATGGAGAGCTGGGTGGATGGATGGAGAGATGAGTTGCCTGGATTCCCTCTTGCAATGGAATTTTAAAAGGCCTAACTTACTTTGTTTTAAAAAAATCTATCAAAAGCCTACCTTCTTTGAGATTATATTAATTTTCAGGTTCATCTTTTTAAAATACTCTTTATTTAAACATTTTATGTATGTTTGTATGTATGTATGTATGTATGTATTTTTAGAGAGAGAGGAAAGGAGGGAGAAAGAGAGGGCAAGAAACATCAATGTGACAGAAACATCTATCAGTTGCTTCTCTATCGATTGTTTCTCATATGTGCCCCAACTGGGGATCGAACCAGTGACCTTTTGTTTTGTGGGACGATGCCCAACCAACCAATCCATACTGGTCAGAGTACTCTTTAAATCATTTAAACAAACTTTAGTGTACTCATAAAATAACAGAAAAGGGCAAAACAACCCAAATGTCCATGTGGTTAAAGAAAGGCAATATATCCATTCAGTGGAATGTTATTCAGCAAAAAAAAAGAAATGAAGTACCAATACAATATGGGTGAGCCTGGAAGACATTATGCTCAGTGAAAAATGCCCGACATAAAAGACCAGATATTGTATGATACCATTTACATGAAATGTTCAAGTATGAAAATAAAGACAAGAATGTAGATTAGTGTTGCCAATGGCACAGATTGGGTGGGGAGAGACAGAAAGGGAGTGACTGCTAATGGGTATGAGGATTCTTTGTGGGGAGAAGAAACAGGAAAACTGGGTAAAGAGTCATAAGTGCATGAAATAGCCCTGGACAGATCTTTTCACTAAATGCTGTCTTATATATTTTGGAATTCCAAACCAGGTAATGCAATGCTTATTATAAATCAAATTTTTGCCATTGTAAAAATAGTTTGCCCTGCTGTCAGTATCATTCTAATTAGGCACACCTGTCCTCCCTGGGCATACATAGCAAAAGGTTTGTTAGACGTACAGAATCCTGGGAACTGACAGAGGCTTTGAAGATATCTACTGACTTTAACCTCCTCAATTTACAGATGAGAATAACATTCAAAAGGGCTAGCCATCCAGTCCAGGGTTACATCTTCGAGAAGCACTAAGCTGCAGTGCAGTCTCTCAAACTTTGGGCAATCACATGGCAACCTCACAATTTCTGCCATAGTTGAGCTCTTATCTACTATTTTGATCCTATTTGATCATACCATATTTATAGAAATTCCACACTCAGGAATTTATCGGGAGTCAGTAAGCAGAGATGCTGCCAAATATTCATGTACAGGGATAGTCATTGCAGCATTTATTATAGCAAAGTATGGTTAACAACATAAATGTCCAATAACAGATAAATGTTAAATTAATAATTGTGTAATTTTTAAAAATTGTATTTATTGATTTTAAAATTTTTGTTTATTGGTTTTAAAGAGAGAAACATCAATTTGTTGTTCCACAATTTATGCATTCACTGTTTGCTTCATCTGTGTGCCCCAACTACAGATTGAACCCACAATCTTAGCATATTGAGACGATGCTCTAACCAACTGAGTTACCTGGCCAGGGTTTATTGATTTGAGAGAGAGAGAAGTAGGGGAGGGAGAGAGAGAGAAAGACTGATTTGTTGTTCCACTTACTTATGCATTCACTGTTTGATACTTGTAAGTGTGTCCTGACCAGGGAGGGATCCAACCTGCAACCTTGGCATATCGGGATGGTGTGCTAAACCAACTGCACTACCTGGCCAGGGCCAATAATTGTGCAGTCTTGATGAGACTAAATATTCTTAATGATGTGTGAACATGCTCACAATAAGTGAGGTAAAATATATCTAAGCAATAGTTTAGAATATAACAAACTGCAAACACATAATAGCAACAGAGAAAAAAAGAATATAAGAAAAATCAGCAAAAGGTTCATTATAATTGTCTCTAGGTAGTGACCTCAACAGAGGATTTTCATTTTCTTTTTTATATTCTCATGACATGTTTTTCCTCCTTTATAATAAATATACTTTACTCTTAGTATCAAAAACACTAAGCAATATTTTTAAAATAAATAATAACATATCTCTTTTGGCTCTGATCCTGTGGGAAATACCTAATTTATTCACAATTATTATTGAAAATATATTCTTTGTCCTGAGATACAAAACATCTGTAATAACAGTCTCATGACCTCTCTATAAACTCCATTTTCTGTTTTCCTTGTTAAAGAATCGCCTGTAAAAACCACAGAAAGAACGGATGCCTGAGAGAAATTGACTGTGTTTCCCTCCCTCTAGCTTCTCTTTTCAGGTTGTGGAGACTGAAAGAGGACCGCGGCCTGTCAGGGATGCTAATGGTGAACAAAGAGTATTATTCCTGAATTTTTTTTAAAAGTTTCCTTACTCGCTTTAAATTAATATTTTAAATGTTTTGTGCTTTCACAAACTAACACTGTTAAGGATCTTAACAAATTAAGATCCTTAAATCTTCGCTGAAGGTGTCCTGTAACCACAGTTATGTATCACTGCTGAGTTATTTTTCAGAGTTGCTTCAGGGTTCTTTACTCCTTTCCGTTTTGAATCATCTTACCCAACTAGGTGCAGTACTGGAGGCTGTTTGTTGCCTAACTACTTCAATATGTTGCATCAAGAACACTTTGCAAGGGAGCCAAAACAATTCAACCTTTTGAAGAAGTTGAGTTAACTACAAAATACTTTATGATTTTTTTTAAAGATCAATGTTAGAAGAGAAAAATGAAAGTAGTGATACACCAAACTAGGTGCTAAACCAAAGAACTCCAAGACACAAAGTACAAACACTGGGGTGGTTCTTTTCTTCATCTAAATGTCAGTATTTTTGAAACAAACATAAAACCCCACCTAGAAGTAACTTACATGCTCATAAATTGGGGACTGAGTAAATAAATTATAGTAGATTCAGCAAATAGATACTTGAGAAATATAATAAAATAAAGGGGATTTCCATGTTTTCATGTGGAAAGACATCCGAGATATAAAGTGAAAACACACTGGTGCAGAATACATATATAGCATGATTATATATTAATAAAACAAGGCATATACATGTTTGTGCTCATACAAAAATTTCTAAAACGAAAAACGTAACACTGTTCCCTTTGGAAGAATGGGACTGAGTCAGGTCATGAGAAAGGGCTTTACTTTTATTTTATGTACTTCCGTCCTGTTTCCAATACTTTTTTTTTTTTAACCTCATTCAGGCATTACTTCTACAATATTTAAAAGGGACCCTCGCTCTGGCTGGTGTGGCTCAGTGGATTGAGTGCCAGGCTTGTAAACCAAAAGGTTGCGGGTTGATTCCTGGTCAGGGTACATGCCTGAGTTGGGGGCCAGATCCCCAGTTAAGTGAGTGAGAGGCAATCAATAGATGTATCTCTCACATATCAATGTTTCTTTCCCACTCTCCCTCCCTTCGCCTCTCTAAAAAAGAAATAAGTACAATCTTTTTAAAAAATAAAAATGAGCTTCAAATGAATTCCATTTTGGAAAATGAAGATCAGCACTTTTGAGAAAAAACAGAAAACCTCACTCTAATGTTTGTTGACTTTTGGAAAACAGTTTTAAGATTTAATTTACATAAAATCGACTCATTGTAAAGTGTACAGCTTGTTGACTGGATTTCATGCTGAGCTACAGAAATTTATTTGGCATGAGAACAAAACAATCTTTCAGATAACTACGCACAAGAACAGCTTTTGTGTCTAAGAAATCTCTAGGGGTGTCCAAGATCTATGCCAATTGTGTGGCTGCAGTAAGGGTAAATAATGCTCCACCTTAAGATTATGGGAGAAAGTTTGGAACCAGAAAATCCCGTAGTTAAAAGAGGGAGGGGAGGGAAAGAGGGAGGGGGCGGGAGGGAAGGAGAGAGAGAGGAAGGAAGAGAAGGAGGAAAAAAAACAAGAAAAAAGGAAGCAAACAATTCTCCCAGGGGTGTTCAAACTGCAGCCCACCGCATGCGGCCCTAGTTATGAATGCAGCCCAACACAAAATCATAAGTGTACCTAAAACCTTTTTTTTCCTCATTAGTTTTCGTTAGTGTTTATATATTTAATGTGTGGCTCAAGACAATTCTTCTCCCAGTGTGGCCCAGAGATGCCAAAAGGTTGGACACCCCTGCTAGGCTGAAGGGCACGTGGAGAACAAGCCACAGTTCTATGGACTCTTAGGCAGTTGCGACTGGGGCTGAACTTGACTCTCAAAGCCAAGCAGTTTCCTTTAATCTTTGAACTTCGAACGTGTCCTAACTTCCAAGTTCCTTCCCCTAATAACCCGCCTGAAGCTGTCCACGGAGGTCAGAGGTTTCGGTAAGCAGTCAGTCGCTCAGCATCAGGAGGTCTCACCCCTGGACAGCGGGAAGCAAATGCTGCATTCGCACGCCCGGACTCAAATCGCCTGCACCCAAATCTGTGGATCCGCATACCCGGGACGCGTGCATCACCCACCCACGGCCCCTCCGCCCTCAAATCCCAACCCCGGCTACAGCGCACGACACCCCTCCAGCTTGGGCTCCCACCTGTGCCCCGAAGCATGTTGTCTCGGAGCAGATCCCCGCTGGAGAGGTGCTTCAGCTCAAAGTGTTTAGTGATGCGCGACGACACGGTGCCCTTGCCGGAGCCCGGCGCCCCCATGATCACCGCGCGCAGTAGCCGCGAGGACGCCCCCATGGCGGCAGGGAGAGGCGTGGCTGTGCGGGCTGTGCGGCTTCGGCCTGGCTGTGCGCTCCCCGGCTCTGCGGCCGCGGCCCGCGGGCTGGCTGCACTGCGAGCGGGCGGGCGGGCGGCGCAGTGCCCGGGCGCTCCCGGAAGTGAGGCGACGGCCACGGGGCCGCCCCTCCCGCGCCCGGCCCGCGGCAGCGCCCGCCCCTCCGTGACCCGAGCGCCTATTCCCCAACGTCCGGCCAGGCCGGCCCGCCAAGCCGCGCCCTCTCCGCCACCCCCGCGAGCTCCTGGGCTAACCGGGTACCCACGTGCGCCTCTACTGGCCTGCTCCCCACCTACCTGCCTCGGTCCGCTCCCACCCGGCGCTGCGCCGCACCCTCTTTGCTCTCCTCCGCTGCCTGGGGCCCTCTCGGCGACCCCTGGTAGTCCTCCACCTCACCTTCCTCGGACCATCCCCCAGCCCCGTCGGTGACCCGCCCTGTCCCGTGGAATAGATCGCGCCCTTGGCAACCCCGGTGCGTCCCCTCCCTATCCCTAGCTGCCCCACCGCGCAGGGCGGTTACCTGATGCCACCCTTCCCCACCACACCCCCAACATCTGCGCAGCCCCCACCTCTCGTCCAGGCCACATGCTGCCGTGCCAGTCCCAGCTAGGTAGACCGCGCCCCCTCTGTGCCTCTCCCAACCTCTGGGCGCCGGTCACCACCACCACCGGGACCCCTCTGCTCTCCAGAGTCCCCAGACCGTCCCCCTCGCTCCTTATCCTACCCACCTCGCTCCACTCTCCTCCCTCTCTTCCTCCTCGGCTGCTGAGCGACCTTAAAAGAACCAGTTCCTCCCCTCATGCTTTCACGCTGGTTTGTAAGGTAGGTTTATTCCTAGCGGAATTCCAGTAGGTGAAAAAGAGCGGAAAGAGCCTTCCTCCTCATTTCACAGGGAGGAAACCCTGTTGAAATGGAGTGAGGGGCCTTAGGTCACACACACTTTCAAATTCAAAAGTAGCTGTTAAGTTTATTCAGCACAGCCTAAGAGTACTGGCTGCTCAGATTCCGTTATTTGCCTTCGACAATGCATTCATTCCATAAATATTTACACAGTGGTCATTATGTGCTGTTATTCTAAGGGGACTTGGAAATGCTGTGATGAACAAGACAAAATTTCTACTCCTTGGAGTTTAAAGTCTAGGGGAGGAGGCAGATCATAACAAGGAAAAGAATAAATGAGCAAGATAATATGAGTTAGTGCTATGAACAAAGTAAAAGATGATATATGAAAGTGTGGAGGAAGGTTGTTTTAGATCCATCCCATGATCAGTAAGGCCTTGAAGAAATGGCATTTGCTCTGAGTACTGAATTAGAACATGGAAGGACAGCAGCACAGGTAAGGGGGAAAGGCCCTAAAACTGAAGGTTTGGCATGTTTCAGAAATAGAAACACAAAACAAACTTCTGGTACCTATTTCCTCTGTAAAGAGACCATGGAATATTAGCACAGCATTGTTAAAGTGATGTGTATAAAGTATAATGCCAGGCACAGGGTACGCACTGAGTGAAGGTTATTCATTGTTGTTGTCATTTATTTGTTGTAGGACACAATTCCAAGGCAGAACACAGTACCATCCTCCTCAAAAGTTGCCAGATGAGTAGATCAAAACTGCTTTCAGGCATGGCTGAGGGGGCTCCATGGATTGAGCACTGGCCTGTGAATCAAAAGGTGGTGGGTTCTATTCTCAGTCAGGGCACATGCCTGGGTTGCAGGCCAGGTCCCCAGTGGGTGGCATGTGACAGGCAACCACACATTGATGTTTCTCTCTTTCTCTCCCTCCCTTTCCCTCTGTCTAAAAATAAATAAATAAAAATCTTTTTAAAAAACTGCTATTGATTTCAAAGACAGAAATTATTTCAGAAAGGAATGGTAAAGGAAAGATTGCTCCCTGGTGAATCTGAGCTATGTGAAGGGATTTAATAGATAGACAGTGCAATACTTAGAAAAAAAATTAGCTCTGACTGTGTAGCTCAGTTGGTTAAAGTTGGGTTACAGCATTGTCCTGACCTGATAGCCAAGTCTCGGGTTCCATCCCTGGTCAGGGCACATACAAAAATCAACCAATGGATGCATAAATGGGTTGAACAACAAATCACTGCTTCTCTCTCTCTCACTAGAAATCAATAACTAAAAAAATTTTTTTAAATTGTAGCTCAGCCCTGGCCAGGTTGCTCAGTTGGTTGAAACACCATCCTGTACACCAAAAGGTTGCAGGTTTGATATCCAGTCAGGGCACATACCTAGTTTGCAGGTTGGATCCCTGTTGGGGGTGCATGTGAGAGACATGGTTCTCTGTCATATCGATGTTTTTCTCTCTCCCTTCTTCCCTCTCTAAAATCAATAAACATCCTTGTGTGAAGATTAAAATTAATTAATAGCTCATGCATATTCATTTCTAAGAAAGAATGAAAATAAATGAATTAAACATTCAGTTCACATAGAAAAATAACATCAAAATAATTCAATGAAAGCAAAGAAAGGGATTAAGTAAAGAAAAGAACAAAAACAAAAGGACTGGAAAATTTAAGAAACAGAACTAACAAATTGCAAAGCACTGGAAAACCTACAGGTATAGGGAAAGTGCTTCCAATCTCCAAAGCTGGGAACATTTGCAGTTTCAGCTACAAAAGAGACCTGAAAGAAAATCCCGAGGAAATTTGGCTTGGAAAAGAATGTTGAAACAAACAAAAATAGCTGAGGAATCATTCTGTCATTGAGGAGGAAAAGCTGAGTGTTGTGGTCACATCAACAGGCCCCACAAAATGCCGACTAACTGCAGCTTTGCTAAAGTCTGTGGATCACGAATGAGTAAGTAACTGCCAAACTGGGAAATCTCCCGGCAGCTCTGCCTAGCACAGTCATTTCACCACACGGAGGTATTTGTATGGGTGGGTTCTTCACTATTTAACTTGCTCCAATGGTAGACACTGAATCCAAATGAATATACATTAGGAAGTGTGAGTCAGGAAGAGATTTTAGAAGGGCTTGTATGTTGGGACTTGCCCTCTAGGAATTATGAAGAAGCCAGGATCTGAAGAAGCCTGAGATAGAAGACCTGTGGAGAGAAGCCCTGCAGTCCGAGTAGGTAAAGGACATCCAGAGTTATTCCAGACATCCAGCTGAGCTGCCCGTTGTGGTCGCAGGAGTCCACCTGAAACTGGAAAAGTCGGCATTTGTGCTGCTGGTCACTACAAGTACCAGTAAATGGAGACAAGGATTGAATCTCTGGGCACTTTATTCACGTGCTGGCGATTAGAGAAGATGACTGATTATGTGCCTTCAAAAACTGTCTTAACATCTCGTCTCAAGCCGACCGTGTTTTTAGGGAAAATGAAAGGGTAGATCAGGGGTTTGTAAAAAAGTTGGCAAAGAGTTGCAGTCCAGCAGCAGTTTTCCTAGTATTTCTTTATCTGCTGGTCTACAATTCTTTATCTGCAAGATGGACCAGATTTTTACTCCCTGGAACACAATGGCTCAGACACCATCTCCATCCTTGCAGACCCCCTGGGGCACAAAGGTTGAATGCTTGTTGACCTCCTGACCTCCTGGAGTCACAAGGGCCCTGCATTCCAGTTCCTGGAATAACAGCTTTCCACCTCATTAATCACTTAAGCCTATCAACTATGACTGAAGCTAAAATCTTTAACTCTTGAGTTTCCCTATGAAACCCAAGGGTAGGTGGATTAGAGAGTCGAGAAAGAATTTTTGCCTGAGCTACTGGAAGAGAACTGTGTCACTAACTGAGATTGGGAAGACTATAGGAGAAACAGGTTTGGGGAAGAATATTAAGAGTTGTTTTGAAGTAAGTTAAGTTGAAGACAGCTTTGGGACATCCAGAGGGAGTTGGTAAGGAAGCAGTTAGATCTACAGATTTTGAGTACATAGTAGGGGGTCCAGGCTGTAAAACTTGGGAGTTGTTGGTGCTTTTAAATTTATGAAATAGTATAAACTCACTTTAAGGAGTAAGTTTAGATGGGAGAAGAAGAGGTCTGAAATCTGACTTCTGGGGTTCTTCTACATTTAGAGGATAAGGAGCAAACACTAAAGTTGCCTGACAAGAGAGGCTAATTCTTTAGGAAGAAAAAATGGGTGAATATTGTCAGTGTGAGAAGCATCCCAGCCTGTAAGAATTTCTGAGTATCTGAGCCAAGCTGATGACAACTGCCCCGAAGCAACATCTCAAGCAGCTGAGAAAATACTCTAAAAATGGCAGAGACAGAAGTGGGTTACAGGAAATCCATTGTTGGTAGATTAGGGAAGTGGGAAAAAGCAAAGGGGGAGGAATCTCTGGGATTGGATAAAAAGTAAAAGGTAGATGCATAGTTTTATGTAAACTGATAAAGATAGTTAACAGTTAACAATTAACATTATAATTATAACAACAAGGGGATTTGTGGTCTCTGGTGGGGTGGTTGTGCTGGGGGGGGTGGCTTACTTTGATTTTCCAAAGGTATGTTATCAGTTATGTTATCTTAGATGCAAAAAGACAACAGAAGCTCAGTTAAGGTCAACATTGACCTTTGTTAGGGAAAAATACTGGCCCAGGACAGGATTACCTGCCATGAACCACTTTTAGTTAGAAAGTTTTAATTTCAGACCCTGCTTTGTAGTTACTTTAGGTCTCTGAGTTTGTAAGCACCCCTGCCTCCCCGTGCACCGCTCCCCCGCCCCCCATACAAGCCTCCCCTGAGCTTGTCAGGTTTAGTGTGTGGCCCAATTTTGGTCCACAATGTGGAGTCGTGGAAATCCGATGAAGAAGGTGTTTTAGGGGAGTAATTCTGTAGATTCTGCTGATAAATAGGACTGAGACCCGACTGACAATTATTTCCAATTGTAAAAACAAAGACCCACAAAACCTATAAAATAGATTATTTTCATTTACAATGTTTAGATTACAAAATCTGAGAATAGTTTTGATCAAAATCCGATAGATATTCAGCAACTGAATTAGTGATTTCAAAAAATTCTAGGTGAAATGTAGAAAACGCTTTCTCTGAAATGTAGAAAACTCTAGGTGAAATGTAAAAAACACATTATAAGCAGGAGAATTCATGCTGTCCAGAACAAGGTCATTAGGGGGGAAAGAAAGTCTAGACAAAAGTATGGGAACTGAACAGAGGAGGCTGAAGGCAGGAAATACAAGGCCATATTATTTTTAGCACTT